TTTAGCTTAAAAACATTGTCATAAAAATCTACGTCCAAATAATTATTATTTTCAAAATGGAAACTTCCGGAACTACGAGAAATTGGCGCCAACTTTGAAATTTTAAATAGTAACCACTTATTTTTATTGCATTTTTGAATTCTTCTCTCCAAACGGAGTAAAATGTACCTAGTCATAGTTGTCATAGTTTTCGACATATGTCAATTTTTTGGTCAAAATTTTTATTTGCAGAAGTTTATTTAAAACATCACAGCTCTTGAACCCTTTGCGATAAGTAAATATATTTTTTGCATTCAATAACCAAAGGTTCGGAAAGTTTTCTAACTAAAATTTTCAAAATTGTCAACTGTCAAATTGCAAAGCTAATATGATTTTTTGAAAATGATAATTAACTAACAGCTATAACTCTGAAATGACCCTATTTTTTCAACGGCAATCGAAAGTTGTACATGGATTTGAAATCTCTGAAATAATCACGAAAAACGTATTTTTGTTTTTTATTTCTATAGTTAATCACGTAGGCTTTGGAAAATGGTTATACGTATTAAATATTTTGTCTATACAAAGAATTGAGGCGATTGTCGTTGAAAAAATAGTCATTTCATTTGAAAAAACTGAGTTATAGCTGTTTGTTAATGATCATTTTGAAAAAATCATACTAGCCTTGTAATTTGACAGTTGACAATTTTTAAAATTCTAGAAAACTCTTCGAACCTTTGGTTATCGAATGCAAAAAAATATATTCACTTATCGCAAAGGGTTCAAGAGCTGTGATGTTTTGAATAAACCCTTGCAAATAAAAATTTTGACCAAACAATTGACACATGTCAAAAACTATGACAGATAAGAACTAACAACTACGTACATTTTACTCACTTAAAGAGGAGAATTCAAAAATCCAATAAAAATAAGTAGTTACCATTTAAAATTTCAAAGTTGGCGCCAATTTCTCGTAGTTCCGGAAGTTCAGCCATTTTGGAAATAATTCATTTGAATTCAGACTGGTTGATTTGGGTTGTGTACAAAATTTCAAATTCCTATCTGCATTAGAAGTTAAAAAGTTCCCTAAAAGAATCACCTTCTAGTAATTTTTTCTTAATTTTACCATTTAAAGGACACTAATGGACTTTTTCAACTCGCTGGGACACCCTGTATATCGAAATACCAACAATTTTTATTTTTGTTGACCTTTAGATTGAATAAGTGTTTTTTTTGTGGTGATTGGTGTTTCGGTCACATTCCTGATGATGTGTAGGTATCCCCCCTCTGCATGTCTCCGTCGCCGAAAATGAGCAATTGATTCGTGGAAAAATGCTGGAGATGCGAAACCGTTTCGATCCGGGGTAACGTCAAGGACCAACAACCACGATGCATAATAACCAAGGGGCCACCAACATATCAACCAAATCTAGAGAAAAACCATCGGAACCAATCTTTGTGCAAATATCTACGATATTTTTGGAGAATTATTATGCCCTTCCACGCTTGCTTCGTCCGACTGCCACTTATATACACGCCTAATTCTACGCTTATGCAGAACAATATGCCTTTCTATATCGTCTATAGTGATAGTGCTATTTTTGTATGTGATCTTTTCGATGAGCACTGATGATGACCGAGTGGTGATCAACCGCGATCAGTTGTGATAGCGTTGCATGAGCACAGCAGCATCAGCAGGAATGCAAGCCGCCTTACTCATTAGAGAGAAACAGCGTCTCCGCAGGAAGAAGTTGAGGAAGGGAAGGGCCGAATTGCCCAGTCATATTGCGACGAGAGAGATCGCGCCCTTCCCACAATATCCGCCCGGATTTATGGTAAACAATTCTTTTTTAACCCTCAAAAAATTGAGAAATGATCAGGAAATCTCCTGGTTTTTGTTTCAAGTCGCTACGACTAAAACTAACGACGCAGCACGCGTTTAAAGTTATATTTTGAGTTTGTGATCTTCATTCACAAAGCAATGATTCGTGTAGATTTTGGTGTGCGATGTCACAGATATTTGTTTACACTTTTTTGCCAAAAAAACCGTAACACAACATTTTTTAGGTTTGTGATTTTCACAAAAATCACAGTTTAAAACTAATTAAAATGTGATTTGTCAATTTAAAAGGCTTTCTGAGGCAACCAAATTTTGAGGAAATGTTAATGATTGATTTTGCTTCAATATTTTTACTTTTCATTAGTCAAAATGTCGAAAAATTCCAAAGCTCTATCACATTGTTATCACAATTCAAAATTTTTTTAAATGTGATGTCACAGATATTTGTTTACACTTTTTTTAGCCAAAATGCCAAAAAACCGTAACACAACATTTTTTGAGTTTGTGGTTTTCACAAAAATCACAGTTTAAAACTAATTAAAATGTGATTTGTGAATTTAAAAGGCTTTGAGGCAACAAAATTTTGAGGAAATGTTAATGATTGATTTTGTTTCAATATTTTTACTTTTCATTAGTCAAAATGTCGAAAAATTCTAAAGCTTTGTCACATCCCAATAATATCTGAATCTTTTCAAGTGCCATTAAAAACCTAATTCGACTTTATTTCATTAAATTTTTTACACTAAAAATTCAAATACATAGTGATAACGCTAACGACAAAAACTCGCGAGAAAACATTTTTTAATGTTTCATTTTGAGTTTTCAAAATTTTTGAATCACACCTGCCGTCAAGGCAATGATAATTTTGTGATTCCTACAAATGAAATTGGAACAAAAATAAACGCAGATATATCACAGTTTAAAACTAATTAAAATGTGGTTTGTGAACTTAAACGGCTTTCTGGGGTAACCAAATTTTTTGGAAATGTGATGAACATATTTCGTGTCGATATTTACATTTTTCATTAGCCAAAGTGTCGAAAAATTCCAAAGCCTTGTCACAAACCAACAATATTTGAAACTACTTAAATCCCATAAAAAACCTTTCGACTTTATTTAATCAATTTTTTTACATTAAAAATTCAAATACATAGTGATAAAATTAACCACAAAAATTAGCGAGAAAACATTTTTTTAATATTTCATTTTGAGTTTGTGATTTTCACAAGATTTTTGAATTACGCCTGCTGTCAAGGCAATGATAATTTTGTGATTCCTGCAAATGAAATTGGTAGAAAATTAGCTAAGGAAACGAATGTTGATTATCTCAAACTGCTACGATCAAAAATAAAGGCAGTTATATCACAGTTTAAAACTACTTAAAATGTGATTTGTGAACATAAAGGGCTTTCTGGGGTTACTAAATTTTGTGAAAATGTTAATAATTGTGTCATAAACATATTTTGCGTAGATATTTTCATTTTTCATTAGCCAAAATGTCGAAAAATTTGAAAGCCTCGTCACAAACTAACAATATTTGAAACTTCTCAAATACCTTCCAAAAACTTTTCCACTTTATTTCCTCAAATTTTTTACATTAAAATTCAAATACATAGTTGTAATATTAACGACAAAAACTAGCGACACAATTTTTTTTACTATTTGATTTTGAGTTTGTGATTTTTACAAAATTCTTGAATCACGCCTGTTGTCAAGTCAATGGTAATTTTGTGATTCCAACAAATGAAATTGGTACAAAATTAGCTAAGAAACCGAATGTTGATTCTCTCAAACAATATATCACAGTTTAAAACTAATTAAAATGTGATTTGAGAACTTAAAAACTTCTTAAATGCCATCAAAAACCTTTCGACTTTATTTCATCAAATTTTATACATTAAAAATTCAAATACATAGTTATAAAATTAACGACATAACATTTGATTTTGAGTTTGTGATTTTCACAAAATTTTTGAATCACACTTGCCGTCAAGGCACTGATAATTTTGTGATTCCTGCAAATGAAATTGGTACAAAATTTGCTAAATATCACAATTTAAAAGTAATTAAAATGTGATCTGTGAACTTAAATGGCTTTCTGGGGCAACCAAATTTTGTGGAAATGTTAATAAACGTATTCCTCGTCGATATTTTCATTTTTCATTAGCCAAAGTGTCGAAAATCTCACACCCTCGCAACATGCCATCGACATTTTATCACCCACATTAACCCTCGCACATCCTTTAAATGTCATCGAAAACCTTTCGACCTTATTTCATCAAATTCGCCTCGAAATTAGTTTCGTCCTGTTTACGACCGCAAATTTACCGTTTTTCATTAAATTTAACGTCACTTAATCGAAAAATTCCCTCCGATTATCGTAAACATCATCATTTTGTTTACTCTCATCCTTAAATAAGGCTCAATGTTTCAACGTCAATAAATAAACAGGCCGTCAATCTGTTTGCCTAAACCCAATCCGAGTTGGCGATGCATCAACAGGTATATCGGAAATCAAGAAGGCCGATCGACACAGCCTTGACCAACTGTGATGTTTGACGTTGCGTCGTCGTCACGGGCAACCGATTTCGCAGACTTCTTGATACATTTTTACATCAGGAAAATGCTTCATCACGTGACCGGTTTTGACAGATGACGATAATGACGTCGTTACGCGCCCGTGATTGATGTTTATGTAAAGCGCGTTTAGAAGTACAAGGACACGTGACGAAAAAAATCGATATTAACAAACACGCGATTGTGCGCCACCCCACAACCAAGAAAAGTGCAATATTTGACATTTAATGAATGATTCTGGTAGGAAATTGACCAACGAGTCGATTGGTTTTTGTTTCAAGTTGCTACGATAATAAATAAGGACGCTACGCTAATTTAAAAAAATATTTTGAGTTTGTGATTTTCAAAATTTTAAAATGGTATCACAGCTAAGGTGATTGGAATTTAGAAATTCTGATTGGTGATTCTGATAGGAAATTAGCTGAGGAATCGATTGGTGTTAGTTTCACGTCGCTACGATGGTGAATAAGCCCTCTAGACCAATTTAAAGTTTTGATCACAATTCAAACAACATATATCACAAACTAATAACGGGTTTTTCAGCGTCCACTTTACAAAGCAATTTGTTTGATGAGCTTTTTGAAATGTTTTTGTGTGTGTGTAGTGTTCACAGGGGCGTGCGGCATGGCAAGAGAGGGAAAGGGGGAGACGCTGTTCACTCTCCGAGGAAGCGCGGCAATCACGCATCAAACAATCAGAGGCTCATCATCGATGGATGAAACGGAACAGAGTAAGAGGGCATGATCCTGAAAAATGCATGGCATGCCTTGCAAATTTCAAATTTACCGCCAAAATTAGGGGTCACAAAACCAACAAGACGGCTTAATTATCACTAAATAAACATAAATTAATGGCCTTTGCTATAATTAGCGACCGCTTGCATGGCTTTAAATTATTTTCGCTTAAAATATGGTTCAATCGCATGTCGCGACGACGGCTTTTTTCTTGATGTAATTAGAAATTTCAAGTCATTAGTGCATCGGAATTTAACCTATTCACCCCTCTTCCCTCCTCACATAAATCGATTCATTCGCTACAAAGGAATTTTCTCACGCTGTTTTATAAATACTTAAAATCTACCCTAATTATTCAAAAGCTCCTCCTTCGAGCTTCAACAGGTTACAGTTTTGTTAATAAGTTGGAAAGTTTGGGGTTTTTATTCATCTTGGAAATGTTCCCGGAGAAATTTTCACGGGTCTCGAGAGACTATTGCGTTTTTCGTTAATTAAAACGAGTGTGTTTTTTATTTCGAAAATTCCGGCGAAAGTATAGTAAAAACGGTTTATGTTTTGTACTATACCTATGTAAAATGTTCCAGGGAGTCAATAGTTTACAAGTTATTGTCAAATTAATTTTTTTGCTACTTTTTTGAGTTTTTGAAAGTGAGAGGTATTAAAATCGTAAAAATACCCAATTTGCCTATAAAAACGCTTGGAATATGGTTTTCTAGACGTWAAATTACTCGCTGAACACGATTCAACTAGTTAGAATACTCTACGATGCATAGTTTTTGAGATATTGAGTAATAAAGTTAAGAATAAGGCTAAAAGTAAAAGCACTATATCCGATTTT